GTGGTAGTGGTAGTGGTAGTGGTAGTGGTAGTGGTAGTGGTAGTGGTAGTGGTGGTAGTATCTTACAGCTAGCTATCTTACAAATGCACGTCTCATTCATCGAATACTTCACAAGATGAATAACATAATTTAATCAAATCCCACTAGCAGTGCAGTCTATCAACATGCTGCGTTCTGATTGGATGAGCTACTACTAGCCTATAAGTTATAACCTACTAGTAGCGAAAAGTGCCGGCGTTGAAAATCCTAACATTCAGTGAAGTTAACTTTTCAAAACTTTTTGKCAACTATATGTTTAACTGACTAGTTGGATATGACCAAGACAACTAGTCCTCTTGCCTTCCTGGCCTATGAGTCAATAGCCCATTTGGGCTCAATGACTAATTGCTAAATAGATGCATGAGTAGTCTTGTGACTGAACGATACCTGGTAATGGAGAATAACACAAAAAGACCAGCCAGTATATATAACTRTAGAGACCTTTTGTACTATCGCTGCCGGGTTTTTTCAGCAGTACTTATAACTATAGAAATAATAATAATATATTCATATACAAAGATAAAAACCTCAGCCAGCTCTACTCAGTTAATAAAAAGACGAACGGCAAAAGCCGCGGCGGTACGTGTCTTGGAGTCACTTTCGCCTTCTGTTATCGGGAGCTGATGGGAAACGAAAATATGTTTCTTAAATTTTTAAAAAAAAAAAAAAAAAAAAAAAAAAAAAAAATCGATTAAGCATAACAGCGTCTACGAAAAATCAAATTAAATTCTTTCGAATAATGATTTTGTTTGTTAGCTTAAAAAACGACATCATTTAAAGTCGGGTATTTTTTTCATATATGATGTGTCTATTAAATAGAAAAAAAAAACAGCTTGTCGATTGAAGCACGCTGAGCCGGATGGCCGTCAGTATTTCAATTTTATTTTTTTCGTATAACTAAACTTTGTTTTAAACAAAAATAAAGGATTAAACCTACAGATTTTTGATATGAGGTTTGGATATAGCACAACGACATATAGCATAAGTGCCCATGATATAATTCGAGTATAGATGGTATACAGGATATTGGTAGCACCTACGTTGGATACGTTAATTTATATCGGTTTTTCTTAGGACGTCAAAGTCGTTATCCCGACAGGTTGTCTCCATAAATATAGGAATATTAAACCGAAATCATAGTGTTAGCATGCTTTAAGGAATAAGTTCTTCCTTTTAATAATAAAAAGATCAATATAAAATTGATCCAAATCCAGCGCCAAATGCAGATTTTTTCGTTTGCCAAATAAATGATTACTGACAAAAGGTTTTATATAAGGCTTGCATATGCACCAGCCTGTACATATAACCAATGTCAGCTGTCATATGCTTATAACAAACAAGMTTAGATGTTTGAACGTTGAAGGGTGAAGTCTAAAGATTGTGTATGCTTTTGTAATAAAAATTAGAAGAAGAACCGCTATTTTTCTGTCGGATTTTGGGATTTAACAGACGTGAGTTAGACTTGTCTTTATCAGATTTAGCCCAAATATGATGTGTAATAATTCAGAATATAGATTGAAGAGGACTAGATAAATGTACCAAAGTGTCGGGTATGGAGAGGATTAGTCCTACTTAGAATAAATTACTCCGAATTCGAAAAGGGAAGAAAAACATCGGAAGTGCCTAAATACGCGTATGTTTGTCCATATTATTATATCTGGACGCGCAAAAGGACCTTTAATCAACCATTTAAATTGATTCATTTGTGAGATATTTTTACAAAAAAACGAAAAATATTGAATTCTATATCCGTCTCGATTTGTTCTGGTTTCCTGGCGAAGAARAAGCCGGCTGACAATCCAACTAGCTGCGCGTGCATGAAGGTTTCTCAAGAGCAAAAATAAGCGGAAATCCCCACTACATTGAATAGCGATTTTCGAAAGCTGTCTTGAATTCGATTTAGCGTTGTCTCTTCAATCGTTTTCCATGTTTTTGAAAAAATAATCATCAGTAACAATAAAGTTATAAAGAACAACTTCAAGTTTAGAGACTCCAGGACGTCATTCTAGATCTTATAATACCTTCAAGTAGCGTCTACCTTCTGAACAAATTCCCTTCATAATATAATATACGGCGCTGGGTTTATATTCAACTTGTATTTCTGTAAATAAACTACTATATTCAGGAAAMATTTAAGCATTAGTGAGTAGAGAGAATTGAATCTGTTGGACAAAAAGCTGATGCGTATAGATAAACGATTTAAAATTGGTAATTGCGAACAATGAAACACGACTAGCAGACGTATGGTAGAGTTAAGAATGTAGCTACGCTACCATCGCTTACAGAAGCTCTTACTCAAATCAGAACGTTTTGGTGTTTGATGAAAGCAAGTCAGGCGGTCAGATTCAAGCAGAGTTGATTGTTCATAGAATAAAACACAAGCCAAACAAAMGATGCATAATGTATATAATATAAATACTGCCTGCTATCTTGACTTAAACGATAATAAAAAGGCAAAATTCAAGTTTTCAGTCACMCAAACAAATGCGGAATTTGATCAAATTTTTTTACGAATAAATTGATTCCAAAATATAATTTAAAAAATATCATCAAAAGTTAGTTTTATTGGTAAAATCAAAAGACAGAAAGAAAATATAGTTCAGTTGAATCGGGCACATCATTCTTTAGTATAATATATCACCGGGTTCTTCGCTGATTRCTCGATGAAATCAAAAACACAAAACGACACTATTTGTTAGAATTACTCACCAATCCTCGTATACCAAGGTGGGGGTTGTAGGAAGGATTCCTTAGCTTGAAACTGTGTCGATCAACTCGAGGCATTTTGACGTTGTTCGCAGCGACMAGCGATGAGAATATAGCTGGAGTCGTGGTTATGGTCGTCCTCGTAGCGAACAACAGTACATTCTCTCCAGAGTTTCCTGACAATAGATATGACGATTAGAACAACATGTGCACCTGCGACTGGAACTTCTTAGCGATACGCAGAAATAGCCGTTAAGTAGAGCTCCCTTTGATCAATAATACCGGCCTATCAAACTACCCATCACAATAATTTGCACTTCAAAAGATCGAACCATTGACGAGTGCACGATGAACGCTTTAAACGGCAACCAAGACCATATCATAACGAAAACTGTTTGATCAATGCTGCAGTTACCCAATGATCAGTGACGCATAAACTTCAATCAGCCGAGGCAGTTTAAAACTAGGGGACTAAATATACATTGGCTGTGACGGCCGCTGATGAGAGAGATACTTTTATTCAGATGAATGGATAGTAGTTATTCACTGGCTCCTAGACTCAAATGCCTGTTGGGTAATGATTAAAAAGGGGCGGACTGGTCGACTAATTAATCACAGATATCAAAATACAAAACTCATAGTAGTTTTCAGATTCCTGATAAAGGTTCACGACAGGATAGGYACCTCGACTCTTCTTTTTCTCTTGATTCTCTATTATTTTTATTATCATTTTTAAATCCTTCCTTCTCCTTTTTTCGCCCTCTTTCCTTTTCTATATTATTTTCTGTTTTTTTCTTCTCCTTCTTCTTCTTCTTCTTCTTCTTCTTTTCCTTGCCTCGTTTTTCTCTTTCTTTTTTTTTCTTTTCTTTTTCGTGTTTAATTCTCTTTTTCGTCTTTCGTTTCCATTTGAGATTAAACAAACACATGTCATCATAAATGATATTTTTTGATTGACAGCTATCATATTTGTAGAATGGCTTTCAATAGAAGCGGATGAACTCATAACATGATCCCACCCTACTTTACCTCCTTTAGCTGTTCTTTCCCACATTCTAATTTTATTGCCAAGTTAAATGAAAACACTAGAGGTTAATTATCGGAATACGAAATCCTCTCCTCCCCCCAAAGAGGGACWCTCTCTAGATATACTTGGAAAGAGATATACGAGTAATGAGAACCACTTCTTCTGCTCGTGRTTGAAAACAGAACCGTCAATCCTGCGCATGCGTGTTTGGTGTTATCTGCTCTTGACAGGTTTTCCCTAATGGCGAGATCTTGRGAAATGAATTAATCTGGTCATTTTGAAGCCGGAGCGCCTACCATTCTTTCTTGTTCCTTGGACGGAAAATAGGGATGGATGGTTAAATACTGTCATAAGGCGGAATAAGYGACTTCGTTTGAAGTTCATTTGTGTAGCAAATGTCCACTGGGAGTGTTTGCGGTTATTTGTATATAAGTTCTACGGAATGATTTCGTATCTTGTTGTGTCTAAATCACCATCATAAATTATTGGCAGAAAGGCTTTAGCATACAAAGCTTATGACATAGCTATAAAAATTAGTAGARACAGGCAAACAGCACTGGCGTTTTATCGTCTTTATTTTCTGTTAAAAGTTCCTAGGTTTTATCAATTTTGTTCACTTCAAAAACATTAATACAAGCTAGAATGGGCACGATTCGACTAGGCATTCCGACTACAAGTGCCATTATAAAATTAAAAATCTTAAGGAGGTGAACAGGTTTTTAAAAAATACCAGCCCAATTATACTGTTTACATAGGTTCGACTATTTAAATGAACTGTGGCATTTTCTACTTTCAAGTACACGTGTTTTACTATTCAAATGTCCGGTTYTCGTACCCTGAGGCAACACGAGACTTCTGGTGATATTTTCATGTATATATTTCACGTTTTGCTGAGTGTAAGTGAATTTAACATGTTTTCTAAGACAGATCGATTGCCCAGTTTTATTGCTATCATCAAAAACTGAAAAACAAGATAARGTAAGGGTTGCTATTGGTTATTGAAGCCCAACAGACGTCAATCAACTTGCTCAAAGGCATAGCAACCACCGGCTGGCTTCCGTTGCTCTAGGCAAAATYATTTGCCCCAAAAAATAAAATTCACCATGAAAATAGCTATTTATCATATATATTTTTCTTTACAAATTTTGACTGAAGACCTCAGTAGAAATCGACAATACAAAACGAAAATTCAAACCTAATCAAATAATCCATGTCTTCAAATTATTTGAAGTGACAGTGTGTTTACTAGTCTAGTGACAGACCATTGTACAACGATGGTATCTGGTATTATACTAAACATTAATAAAGGTTTGACCTGACAGATACTCTTTTATCCTAGCATCCATGCAGTTAAAATTGCATATTAAACAACCTCAATGGCCATCATGGTTCCTATACCACTGACCCTTACTGGCTTGAACGTTCATTTTGCTGTTGTTGTTGTTGTTGTTGTTGTTGCTCCTCTTCACTGAAGGAAGTCATTTCTCATCTTTATAGTACTTTTTTCCAATGTGTTATCAAGTTTTTCCAACTAGCTTTAAAACTAAGTCTTCTTATTTCCTCAGTTGTTTTTACCTCGCAAAAAAAGACAAAAACAAAAACAAACAAAAACAAGAAAAGAAAAGAAAGAAAAAACACCGAGAAAAAAAACAGACCAAAAAAATAAAAACGCAATTTGTACAAATATTATTTTAATTTTTTTAAAAACGAAATTAAGCCAGAGGGATTGAAAAATCAAGTGAAGCATTTATTTTTATATTTCACATCAAAAATCAAAAAGAAARATATTTTGTTTTTACAATTCACATMAAAAATTTAAAAAATAAAGAAAATAGGAGAGTGGTCCCAWTTTAAATGAGGCACTCTATATGTGACAAATTTACTTTTGTAAGGCTTTGCTTTCTCTTAATATTCATGATTAATTTTTCAATAAAAACGAGAAAAAGAACAAGGAAAAATAAATAAATAAATAAGAGAGACAAAAAATACATAAAAAAGAAAGAGTGGTCCTAAGATGAAAATGAGGCACGCCACATTTGATAAGGGTAATTTCAGTTTTTCAAGGTTGCCGTCTCAATTCTCAAGACGCAAACATATTCTTTACAGCTGCAGCTGCAGAATAAAGGATAAGAAATGTCTCTCTTAGCAAAAATACCTAAAATCAGATTACCCCTAGGGCTGATAGTCGGTCTTTAATCACATTGAAAACTGAGCAATCGATCTATATTTTGAAACATAAAATATAAACCTAATCAATTGTCGTTCTATGATTGAATTATACGAAAGAATACATATTGTCGGATCAGTTAAATTATATATAAAAAGTCAAAAAAAAATTCGGTTTGTGTGATGGGGGTGTAAGGAAATTGAGTGAATTTACTAAAAATATAAAACTGGGTTTACCTTAATTTTGTACCATGAAAGTTGTAATAGAAGTCCTTTTCGATTTCTTAAGATCAATAAAGATGCGTATTGATGATATGAAAGAAATTATGGGATAAGTTAGGCTATTTTTTCATTCACTCTTCARAACTGAATAATATGTATATGACAGGTCAGTTTTGTCATGTTATGGCGACCAGTTCTTTATTTCATTCTCATAGAATAATTGGGTCTTTTTTGGTGTAGCAAGATTTATTGTATCCCGAATTTTTTGTTTTGCACGGTATTGTTTAGCTCCAAAATCACTAATTAACCTTTGTTTTTTCTAATTCTTTTAATGCTTCATGTGCATTACRCATATCCATCTCAAGTTCATTCATTCATTTATTCCGTTATTCGTTCGTTTTCTCCTTCATTCGATCATTTGTTCGGTCATCCATGCGTTTATTTGTTAATTCGCCTTCGTTCGTTCATTTATTCGTTCACTCATTCAAACATGCGCAGAAGTTCATTTTGTTCTTTAGCATTTTCATATCGTAAACACTTCTTTCCCCCTGTCATTTAAYGAGAAGAAATGCTCAAACCTTTTAGTTGTAAATAAGCAAGAAAGCTCTTGTTTGACCCCCTGGCAAGCAATATGTTCATCCCGCTTCCGTTATTCGCAGGAAGAAAATCAGGGACTTACGTCCTTGAGAGATGATTCAATCTTGATAACTTATAGATGCTTTTAACTACACGTCATATTCATTATCGGCTTAAAATTAGTTGAATGACTCTTTATCCTGACTTTGGATTACCATGGAAGGCCAGCAAATAAGTGAGATCAAATGATGATATTTGATAAGACGAAAGAGTAAGGTTAAGCTTATCTCATATTAAAGAAAGAGCTAGAARGACAGGGTAGATGGCTATGGGACAGTAGGTCATCTAATTTAAGTACGATAATCTTAGTTTTCTCCTCTAATTTCTGACTGCTGCTCTTGTCTAATCTAAATRCGTCTTATTATTTATTACGATAAAAAGACAGAGATATTTCAAAGTCTGGCGAATTTTCTTGAGCGAGCACATCCCRCAAGGCATTGTGGGTCTGTGTCTAGATACAAGGTGAATACTTGCCGCCTTCCGCTCGTCGGTTCCTCTGTCTACAATTCAGACCCACTTACAGACCCACTTTTAATTTCACGTGATGACTTTTTTATCAATCAAAGGGTGTCTCCTTGAATATGGCAAAGGTCTACCTAATCATTAACTTGWAACCAGTCTTTCTTGGGAAAATTGGGGGGAGGGGTGGGGTTACGAATCATGAATCAAGGTGATTTGAGGTCAAGTGCTGAAGATTATGACAGGCCAAAAATATTCATCATCTTGTGCTACTCCAGAGCAACTCCGGCAGGAGGACAGATAAATGTACTACTTAATTGGATTCTTGTCGGTATACAAACAAATTYATTGAAGATTACAAAATACACCCACAAATGTATTAGTTGTCATCAATCCTTTATGGCCAGCTGAGATGAAATTTGCAAGATTATAGCCAARGTCAACCAATCAGATTTAGGAATTTTCCATTCTTTGTTGGAGCTYACTTGAAAAAGCTATGACCCAAAACCCATTATGGTTTCAAGATCATTTGAGCTGGCCATTGTTCGTTTGAGGCATTTAGAAAACAGTCAGTAAATAATTTATTTAAACGATTAGATCGAAAAACAAAATGTTTGCAATAGTAATTCCAGTAGTAATCCTTTAGTAGGAAGATAACTGTCATTATCTGGAAAGCGAAAGTCTGTCAAATTTAGATTATATAAATATATTCAATTACAGTGTCATATGTACAGAGATACAGTGACTTCATAAAAAGATGCTTTCTGATTTATAAATAGTTACTTTCATAAACAACAGTATTTATAGC